CTTTTAAAAAAATGAAGGCCAAAACATTTGTAAGTCTATGTCTCAAAATAGAATTAGGTATAATTTTGTTTTTTTTTTTAAAAAAAGAGAAGAATCAGGTATTGATTTACGTGTTTAAACTATATGTCTAGCACCACATTTATTGAACAAGCACGATAATGTAAAGGTTTTTTTCCCCCATAAAAAGGTACAATAATAAAGTTTTCAGCAATACAATAAAAATGATGTAAAAGTATTTTCCAAACAGTTTTAAGACTACGGTATATGAGGATTAGTTTTTTTTTTTAAGAAAAAGAGTTAGACAAAGAGTGAGAAGGTCCTTGGCGAACAGAGATTGACCGAAGCTCCGGTACTGTTTCCGGACTCATGGTCATAAAATTTGGTCATCGAACTCGTCTCGTTATGGGTTTCTCGTGATGATAGTGGTGTACGGTGTGGTTGCTCTGTTTGGACAGATATGAACCGGTTAAGAGCTTGGAAGCCGAATGTACGGTCTTCTTTCTCAGGGAAGTTTTCCACTTGGTGGTTGAGATCTCTTAGTTGGCTGTCTTCCTCGATAATCCTTTGACCGGACACCCTTCATCGGAGGTTTCTACCGGCGGTCGTTGGAGGTTTTTGTCTTTTTGTAATTTTTGTGTTGTAATAAGGTTGGTGGTTTACCCACTCGACCCTCGTTTGGTTTTTTGTTTTTAGTTAGATTTAGGTGTTCGGCTTAATACCGATAGAGTGATATTGGTTATGTTATAATTTTTTTTATGCCGTGTAGATATCCCCTTTCTGTGGGTTTTAACGATCTGTCACTTTTTGTGGATTTTGACGATTGGGCCTCATACTTGCGTTTGTCTCTCTGATGAGTTAGCATTATATCAAGACGACTATTTATTAATATTTTAATAAAATGTAATTTTAAAAAAAAACAATTACGAACAATATAATTTTCTTATCAAGAAAACTTTATCTTTCAAAGAGAGAGACCAGTACTTTATTTTATTTTTTTAATCTTTGGTATGTATATTTTCTACTTTAAACTATTTCTCAGAAAAATAACATATACATATCGAATTAAAAAAATGAAACTGGTGAATACTGATTGAATAAAACTTGTAGATATGGTCACAAAAAAAAAAAAGAAATTGTAAGGTCTCGTTCGCTTTGCGTATTTAAGTTTTTAATTCGAATTGAAATGTGATAATTTTTAAGAATTTTTAACTGTAACATAAAAAATTAGATGTGACATTTTTAAAAAAATTTAACTATAAAAATCAAAAATTAAAAATTTAAATTAATAAAATAAACGATACGAGAATGTTTTAAAAATATACAAAGTCATGCATATGACCTCAATGAAATCCCTATAATAATATATATATATTTTTTTAAATGATCCACACGATGATGGTGAATGATGATACACATGACTCCAGCTGGAGTAGGACCCACAAGTAAACGTGGGGACCAGATGGCAGATGAGACATAAATGATAAAACAACGTTTCAACTCAAAAGAGAGGTTTAACGGTTGGATGAGCTACTTTCCGAATAGTATGCATGTACCATCTACCGAACGGGACGAAATTGTTGTCGTTTTCTCTTTGCGTCGGCTAGGTGATTTCAAAATGCTCCACCAACACTTTAAAAACCCATAATCGAACTTCTTGGGGGCGTCTCTCTTCAATGATTGGCTGCTGGGCCCAAATTGATAAATATTTTGTGGAAACTGCAAAGCGTAAAATATTTTCTTAAAAAGGAATACAAACTATTATTATAATCAATATTGTAATGATAAAATGACATATTTTTAAGCACAATTGACCTAGCTTATACAAAACATAGTTTGAACAGCACTACAGAGGCTTCCATAGGGTCTTCGTCAAAACCGACTGACCAAAATGCATCAAAACGTGGGAATATGCAATATGGTGTGGAAATTCTTTATTTCTCTTTATCGATTTACTTATTTCTCTTTTATTAGATATTATGCTACCAACCAAAAACAGGACGAAATTCTAGTAAGACCAAAACTTGCGACAGACTAACTAATCAAAAACAAAAGGACGATTGGGGGATTAAGTTTTTGGTTGTTAGAATGACTTGTTCAAATACAAGATATCTATATTTGTACATAATTAAAAGAAGTGATAATATCTAAACACCTTCTGTGTTTTGTTATAATACTACTTTCACCATTCTTATTATGTAAATACCCAAAACATCCCTTATATTTATAGAGAAGGCTCAAACCACCAGCTAAAATAATTAATTTTTTTAAAATACCAAGATTACCCTTCTCATTCTTTAATAAATACAATTTTAAACATTATTCCACAAAAATGTTAAATAAAATCAATCTTAAAAAAATGGAAAACTCTCAAAATAATTGAAGTAGTTTTTTAATTGGAATATTTATTTAAGCATTTTAAATTTTTTATTTAACTTTTTAATTAAATCATATTTAGAATAAAATTTAATATAAATTGAAAAGGATAATCATGACATTTTTAGAAAATTAATTGCTTCAATGGATGTTTTGAGTCTGATTTTGTAAACACGTGGTGTGTTTTTAACATTTGCATAATAAGAGAGATGAAAGTGGTATTTTAAAAAAATACTGGGAATATTTTGAGATTTTTTCTAAAAAAAACCAAATGATTTTCTTCTCTTACACTGCTCCATGTGCTCCTCTCACTTTTTTATTTTATTTTATTTCTCTCTATTTTCCTTTACTTATTTCTTGATTTTTGTTGTCTTTTCTTTCCCTTTTTTTAATATAAACGTACATGAGGCTTATATTGATGCATAAATATATTCTTTATCATATAATAAATAAAATAACGTTTAGATACCTCCTATACGGTAACATTACTAAACTAGTTATCATTAAAATACCATGATTCCAAGCTGTCAAATGGCATGAAAAACACGCCAAATACACATGATCATTGATTAGCCAAAAAAAAAACAAAAAAAAAGAAGCTAGATACACTTAAACCCGGTGTACTTCTTCACATGAAAAAAAAAAAAGAGCAAAAACGAGAAGTAACTCTTTCTCATTTAATCATAGAGAAAATTGTTTGATGAGAGAAAATTATTTAACTTATCATTAGAGTGCACGAATTTAGATTTTTACTCATTATTTTTAATTAATACCATTGTAACTGAAGTTATTTAATTAAAGATAATATTAATCAAGAATAAAAATAAAAATCTAAACTCATAACACTCTAAAAATATTTGTCTCATTTTCTTTTATCATATGTTCACACACAAAATTAAGAATAATAGTTTGGTAACTAAACCCTACTCAGAGAAAATTTTAGTCGTACATGATCCTCGACAAGTTCACATGACCAATAATTACATAACTATGTTAAACATGTATTTTAATAATATTAACAAGGTTCTTACTCCTAAATTAAGTAATTATTAAAAAGAGAATCCGCTTATTTCCCATTGTACTTGCAAGAAAAAAAAAAAGAAAAATCATTGATCCTCGTCCATATTCCTTTACTTTCCTTTTCAGTCCATTTCATTTGACAATAGATTCCTTTTAAGGTACATCCATTGTAATTTCCTGTAAAACATACCAATGCTTATGCACCATCGATTTTGAATGCTAGCATGCCGATACTATCCTAACTTCAAATATAGATGACACATGATGAAAAAGGGGAAAACAAATGTTTACCCAATTTTTACTCTTAAAATATTGGATTAATTTCAAAAATTCCCTTCAAACTATAACTCTTGTAACACTTTTACCCCATGAATTTTGAAAAGTAACATCCGTTCCCCCCGAACTTTGTTCCGTTAATAAATTCTCATTCTGTTATAATGAGTGACGAAATTGTGACATATAATTTATTTAATGAGAATTGAAAGCGCAATTATGCTTATACCCTCCTAATCAGATAATTCTCAATTTTTATTTAAAAAATCCACCATCTTCGTTCCCCATTTTCTTTCTTCTTTTTTTTTCCTCATTTTTTCCTCATTTTTCCCCATTTTTCTTAATCTTTTTTTCCCCTCATTTTGTTCATCAATGTGGGTTGGATCAGGTAGTGAAGACATCAAACACGAAAAACCTGGAAAGACAATCTTAAGAAGAATCTAGAAAGAAAAAGCGTTTGTATATTTGAGTTTAATCTAGTTCATTTGAGTTTGATTGAGGCCGTGGGTTAAATCTGTTTCATTTTATGATTGAATGCAGAATGAAGAGGAGAGGTTGTGGGATCTCAATTGTGATATTTGAATATTCTCTCTTGCCTTCTCCGACAAAAACAAAATAAAATAAAATAAAGATGCTTTAAGGAACGCTTGAAGTTCTTCTTGTCAGTGTCAAGGATCTTGAGAATGCTGCTTTTTTCAGTAAGTTTCTTATCACATTCCGTCTTGGATTCATTGTTCTGATCATGTTTTTGATCTTGTGTCTTTTGGGTCTTTTTTTTTTTCCTAATCCTTATGTTGTTCAAGATCTAGATTTTCTTTCTTTAACGCTTAAAAAAGTTATTGCAAGTTAATTTACAATAATACCCTCTTCAGATGAGTCATGTGCCTGACACGCGGTGAATTTCGCTACTCATTGTAACAGAAGGATAAAACTTATTAACAAAACAAAATTAGTGGGGAATGAATGTTGTTTTTTAAAATTCATGAGACAAAGGGCCCGTTCGGTTCGCTAATTCAAATTTTTAATTCGAGTTGAGATGTGATATTGTGTGAGCTTTTTACTGTAACAAAAAAGTTAAATGTGATTGTTTCTAAAAGCTTTTTACTGTAGCAAAACTCGAATCAGTAAAAAAAACAGGACTAAAGTGTTACAAGGGTCATTGTTTGGGAGGAATTTTTAAAATTAATTCTAAAATATTATGTTCAGAAAGGTATTCATGCAGCAAGACCCAAAAAAAAAAAAGAAAAAAAAAAGAAAGGAGAGGGAAAAAAGACACAAGTTTTATTCTTTTCTCATTGCAATTACAAATTGATTGAACAAATAATTGGCAAAAATAGTTCTATAAGACAATATAAGATTGTTACATGTGCTATTTAAGACGCTCAGCTTCAAATCCTGAGTTTCTCTCTCTCTCTCTCTCTCTTTTTTTATTTTTTTATTTTCTTTTATTTCTCATCAAAATTGTTCGAGATCATTAAAGGACACACTTTAAGATCTCTTAACCACTGCAGTGGCAAAATAAGGATGGTGGTTGAACTCAAACGATACCTTTAGAGAGGGGTCAAGCGTACCAACCCGGCAAATGACATTTAAGGCAATACTATTGTGCTCAGCCACTTGCTCTAGCCTTTTAAGTTCAGCCAACTTGTCTGGTTCGTTTGAAAAACTACTTTTGACCTCCTTTGCTATCCTCTGAGCGTCCTTGAAGTAATTGTACATAAGTAGGTTCTGAGACAAGAAAGAAATTCCTTCAAGTCTACAAGAGGATCACAAAAAACGAGAAGTCGAGTCAACCTCTACATTTTCAGCGGAGTTACTCACCGAGAAACAAGCATAGCTTGTGGATTCCTTAAACGACGGGTACGACATGTGGTCTGGAATGCTAGCTTTCTGTAGGAGCTCAAAGTGCTGAATAAATCGCTGCATGACAAGTTATTTAAGCTTTGTGAGAAATAAATAACTTGGCAAGAAAGCAAAGTAATAAATGTCCCAGCAATGGTTGAATGTGTATTAGATCAGTATTAAGAACTATACCTCATGCTCAGTATTAAAAGGGCTCCGACTCTGTAAGATTCCGTGTTCATTCCTGAGAGCAGCAAGCATCTGGAATATTGCAAATGTTGGATTCAGTAAGTGTTCACTTTGCTGAAAACAGGTGGGACCTTATTCCACATTCAGGGAAAAAAAAAAGCCCTCTCCGGTTGGTGTGGAATTGGCTTATGCCTCATAATACAGAAAATAAACGCAGCAAAATTACCATAGTGAGCCCTTCAGCAAGGCATATCTGACACTGAAGAAATAAAACTCCCGGAGGGATTCGGTAATCTTTTGCCGCATCTTTTGGTGCATCTCTTTTTTTCTTTCCTCTCTTCTTACCTGATCAACAGAAGTACAGCGGTATCAAGTGGTGTCATAAGCTATGAAAAATTTCTCCAGTTAAAACCATTGTCTCATTTGCTCACAGGTGAAAAATGATACCAATTATGACAAACTTACCAGCGCTGTTGGTCGCTACCATCTTAATATGTATTTTCTCTGCAAGCTTGACCAGGACAACATATAAATACCAATATACCATGCAATATTCACTGGGCGAATATAGCTCCAATTCAAAGCCCAAAATGAGAAAACGAGAAGCTATCCAGTATGTTTGCTCTTCCACCCAAACAAGTATATGTTGAAATATTTTCATACTTGCGTTCTGTCGAATACAATAAATGCGATAGCATAAGATGATGAATCAATCACAAGTTACTCAGAAAAAGACAGCATATCTTACAAAAATATTCCAATATCAAGACTGCTTACACTATATACAAGCAGGATCTATCCCAAATCAATTTTGAAACTTTACCATCTGACAAAATTGATCTGACCAGAAAGAGGAAGGGGGATTCTGATCCATGGAAAGACCATAAAATTATGAACAATTCATGTTTGTGTGTGTGTGAAAATAGTTGTTATTCGATTCCTTTTTATTAGAGGAAAGTCTCTTAGGGAAGATACAACTCAATTTTGAATGGACAAATCTTGATCAATTCCAAGCCTTTTTTTTTCCCTCTTAATTTCCAAAGAATTCTTTCAATAAGTTAGAATTTCATAAACAACCTACAAAAGGTTCAAAGATTGAGTTCAAAGGTAGATAACAAAAGCTTCATTTTCAGTGTCGGTTGCTTGATTTTCTCACAAAAGTTGTGAACGGCGTAATTTATTTTCCTTTAATTTTTGTGATTTATATGATGAACCACCTAGAACAATTATCAATTTCCAATTAAACTCCAAAACAATCTCCTCCAAGTCTTATCCTTACCAATTTGTTAATTCTACCAACAAATTTTGTTATTTAGTATTAAGAGATTAACTACAATATATTGAAGATCATTTCTATTACATTATTATTCACGATCATAGCTAATGATCATCTACACAATTTTTAATACGTTCAAATTCTTAATTCAAAGGTAAAATGAAAATCTGCAATGTTAAAGATGGTTTGATAATAAAGCATTTAGTTTGCTTAGTGTTCTTATAAGGTTCTAAAAAGAACATATGCAAAATCCTTTTAATGAAGATTTTAGGAATAACTGAAAACATTAGTTGAATAGAAGTGGTTCAGCTGCATCAACGTAGTTTTTATAGACAAACCTCTTCATTTGACAAGCTTGGGTTATCGCCACACTCCTTTTTGAAAGCCATCTCTAGCTGCAAACCAACAGATAATTTTAACACAGTTAATAATCAAATCCGTTTCTACTTTGCAGAATACAATATACCTAATCCAAATTTTCCCAATGGAACCCTATGTTTTTAAAAACTAAAAATGATCCACTTAAAGTATCTTTCCATTTCATCCCCTTGTGCATTCTTTAGATGAAAAAATTGGACCAAAGAAAAAAGCCTAACATAGTTTCTCAAAAAAAGAAAATTGTTGAAATTCAAACTAGCCGAGTATTAGATGAGTGATAGGCTCCTAGAATCGTGGGATAATAGCTAAGGATCTGTTGTAAACTAATCCCTATAAATGTGTAAAGTAGTTCCTAATATCTAGGAGGTCTCTTAGGATAAGATCTTATTTTTCTTGTGTATAAATACCCTTCCCGGTTCATTCAATTAATAGAGGAAATTCAAATTATTCCAAACTTCATGGTATCAGAGCCCTAGGTTCTCTAAACCCTAATTTCCTAGCCGTCATCTCTAGCCAACCCTCAACATGGCCGAATCTGGCCAAACCTCCGGAGACTCCTCATCCTCTGTCTCTCAGAATGTTTCTTCCAATCCTCAGAACACAAATGACCATAATCTTACTCCCATCACCAGCCACAAACTTAATGGACACAACTATCTTCAATGGTCTCAGCCCATGATGATGTTCATTAGTGGACGAAGCCGTGATGACTATATCACCGGTGCTGCTGTCCAACCAGGCACCAGTGATCCCAAATTCAAGACATGGAGAGCAGAAAATAATATGGTCATGTCTTGGCTAATCAGTTCAATGACGACGGAAATAGGTGAGAATTTCCTTCTCTACACGACTGCCAATGAAATCTGGGATGCAGTCCGTGACACCTTCTCTAGCAGTGAAAAATAATGCTGAACTTTTCCATGTGGAGAGAATCCTCCAGGACCTACGACAAGGAGATCAACCGGGAACCACCTACTTCACCACTTTGACGCGGTATTGGCAGCAGCTGGATTTATTCGAAACTCACGAGTGGAAGTGCTCGGATGACAACAAATACTTCAAGAAAATAGTAGAGATCAAACGCATCTTCAAATTTCTAATTGGGCTGGACAAATCTCTTGATGAAGTACGCGGATGGATTTTAGGCACCAAACCTATTCCGAGTCTTCGTGAAGTGTTTTTTGAGGTACGTCGGGAGGAAAGCCGCAAGCGAATTATGATGGGACGATCCGATTCAATCCCTGATGGATCAGCCCTTGCAGCAACCCGAGAGAATCAGTTCTCTTTAAAACCAGCCGCCCTTGCTATTCGCGGAATACCATAGAACTCTCGTCGAGGACGCCCCTAGTGTGACCACTGCAAGAAGCCAGGTCACACGAAAGAAACATGTTGGAAGCTACACGGAAAACCCTCCGATTGGAAGCCAAGTCGCAACTCTGGAGATCGTGACAGTTGTGGAAATACTGCCACTGCAGAATCCACAAGGTCTCAAAGCCAGATCCCCTTCACTAAAGACCAACTGGAAATACTGCAGCAGCTGATCAACAAGGCACAAATCTCGGCAGAAGGGTCATCACAGGGCACAAGCAACCTTGCACTCCATGTAGCCAAGTCACCGTCACCTTGGATAGTCGACTCAGGAGCCTCCGACCACATGACAGGTGATAGAATGTTATTTACAAGTTATATTCCATGTCAGGACTATCAAATAGTCCGAATAGCCAATGGTACACGTTCACGAGTGGCTGGAACAGGAACCATAAAGCTTTCAAAGACTCTTACCATCGACTCAGTATTATTTGTTCCTGACTTAGACTGTAACCTAATCTCTGTGAGCAAATTGACTAATGAACTCAACTGCGAGACTAAGTTTTTTGCTAAATCTTGTGTTTTTCAGGACTTGAGTTCGGGGAAGATGATTAGCAGTGCTGACCTGTGTGCAGGCTTGTACCTTCTCAACTCAGCCACCACCTCAGCTTGCTCCCAGGCCAATAAAACAGATGTCAGCCCACAATGTTGGTCTGCCAATAGTCTAGAGTCCATGAGTCACACAAATAAAGATAGTGCAATCTTAATGTGGCACTATAGGTTAGGTCATCCAAATTTCATGTACTTGAAACACTTGGTTCCATCATTGTTCATTAATAAAAATCCCAAGTTTCTTCAATGTGATATTTGCCAGTTATCTAAACACACCCGAAGCACTTACTCACCGCGTCCATACAAACCAACTCATCCGTTCTCCCTTATCCACGGTGATATTTGGGGCCCAAACAAAATTCCAAATATCACCGGAGCAAGATGGTTTCTACTATTAATAGATGATCATGCCCGTATAAGTTGGACATTCCTCATGAAAGACAAGTCTGAAACCAGCCAAATATTCAAAAACTTCCATAAGATGATCCAAACACAATTTCAAACAAACATCCAAATCTTCAAAACAGATAATGCCCGGGATTTCTTCAATTCCATTCTTGGTCCCTACCTCACATCCTATGGCATTGTTCATCAAAGTTTCTGCGTAGATACCCCACAACAAAATGGGGTGGCTGAACACAAAAATCGACATATCCTAGAGGTGGCCTGATCCCTACTATTTCAATCCAATGTTCCCAAAAAATTCTGGGGTGAAGCAGTCCTCACTGCCACCTATCTCATAAATAGGATGCCCTCACGTATACTCACATTCAAAACCCCATTGGAAACTCTCCTAAAGTGCTACCCAAAATCACATTTGGTCACACAAATTCCCCTCAAAGTTTTCGGATGCACTGCATTCATTCATATTCATTCTCATAATCGTAGTAAACTTGATGAAAGAGCACTCAAGTGCATCTTCATGGGGTATTCATCAAACAAAAAGGGATACAAATGTTTTTCACCTACCACAAACAAATTCTATCATACGATGGACATCACCTTCTTTGAAAACAAACCTTACTTCTCCAATTTCGAGCTTCAGGGGGAGATTAGCACACATGAACCACAAAATTGGGACTGGACTTCCCTCATTGACTATGGCTCACTTTCTCCTACTCTCTCTGGCCTACCTGATCCGAACATATCCTCATCAAGTCCAGTAAGCTCTCTGCCGTGTCCACCTCCTCCTCGGCCAAACATGTCTCCTCCACCGAGTCCTTCCTCAACCAATTCAATTCCATATCCCAATCATCTCACCCTTCCTAATGATGCCATAAAAGTATTTATCCGAAGAAAGCATTTGCCTGAACAAGGTCAACAACATCATGACTCAATCCCGAGTTCAAGAAATCCTGAGACAACACAAGGTAAAGTGGATCTTAGTATGCAAATTGACGGTGAATATACAGAGAGGCCCACGGAACAAAACTTAGACTTAGAGCTGCCCATTGCTCAGAGAAAAGGAGTCCGGTCATGCACTAAGCACCCCATCTACAATCACCTGACCTATGCAAACCTGTCCCAGAAGTTCAGGGCATTTGTGACAGCCCTCGACAAAATTCAAATCCCAGCAACAGTTCAAGAAGCCCTACAAGTCCCGGAATGGCGAGCGGCAACCTTGGAAGAGTACAGTGCACTTGAAAAGAATGGAACATGGAGTCTAACACCTTTACCGCCTAGAAAGCATACGGTTGGATGCAAATGGATTTTTTCAGTCAAACAAAAGGCAGACGGAAAAATAGACAGATTCAAGGCACGATTAGTGGCAAAAGGATTCACACAATCATACGAATTGACTATCAGGAGACATTTGCACCTGTAGCCAAATTCAATACGGTACGTGTTTTACTATCTATTGCCGTAAACCAAGATTGGCCGCTGCTCCAATTAGATGTGAAAAGCGCATTCCTGAATGGAGATTTAGTCGAAGAAGTATATATGGATATCCCTCTTGGGATTGAGGATGATCAAACAAAGGGAAAGGTATGCAAGCTCAGAAAGTCACTGTACGGGCTTAAACAATCGCCCCGAGCATGGTTCGACAGATTCACAAAAGTACTAAAACTTGATGGCTACACTCTATCAGGCCGACCACACATTGTTTATCAAACATTATACCGACAACAAGGTGATAATCCTAATCGTGTATGTCGATGACATAGTACTCACAGGGAATCATGAAGAAGAAATACGGAGACTCAAGGCCCTCCTTTCCAAGGAATTTGAAATCAAGGACTTGGGACTACTAAGATATTTCCTGGGAATGGAGGTAGCAAGATCAAGCAAAGGGATTTTAGTCTCTCAACGCAAGTACGTGTTAGATCTACTACAAGAAATCGGTATGAGTGGATGTCGACCAGCCGAAACTCCCATGGATCCCAACACTAAATTAAAACCTCGGACTGAAGAAAAACCAGTGGATAAAGGGCAGTATCAATGCTTGGTAGGAAGACTAATCTACCTCACTCACACTCGCCCGGACATAAGCTTTGCCATAAGCCGTGTTAGTCAATTCCTAAACAATCCATCCGAAGATCATATGGAGGCAGTAACTCGCATTCTCAGGTACCTTAAAAGGGATCCAGGAAAGGGATTATTATTCAAGAAGACAGCCAATCGTCTCTTAGAAATCTACACAGATGCAGATTGGGTAGGATCTCCAAGTGACCGAAAGTCCACCTCAGGGTATTGCTCCTACGTCTGGGGAAATTTGGTAACATGGCGCAGCAAGAAGCAGCCAGTGGTAGCACGCAGCAGCGCCGAGGCAGAGTTTAGGGCTTTAGCCCAGGGCATTTGCGAGGGAATATGGCTAAAACGACTACTGGATGAACTCAGAATTGTCATCTCAGGACCAATCCAGATGATGTGTGACAACCAATCAACCATAGCAATTGCCAAGAATCCCATCCACCATGACAGGATGAAACACGTGGAGATTGACAGACACTTCATCAGTGAGAAAATAGAAGGCATTATCATATCACTGAGTCATGTTCCATCACAACATCAAGTCGCAGACATCCTTACAAAGTCCCTCTTCAGGCCCAACTTCACGGAACTGAGCTCTAAGCTGGGTCTAATGAGTATATACCGCCTAGTTTGAGGGGGAGTGTTGAAATTCAAACTAGCCGAGTATTAGATGAGTGATAGGCTCCTAGAATCGTGGGATAATAGCTAAGGATCTGTTGTAAGCTAATCCCTATAAATGTGTAAAGTAGTTCCTAATATCTAGGAGGTCTCTTAGGATAAGATAATGTTAAAAACAAAACATGAATTCAAACAGACAAAAAAAAAAGACACGAGCACACACATGCCCAGCAGGCTAGATCTGCAGCCCAGCACCCCGCGACACCTAGCCTCACCAGCCTCATCAGCCCATGCTTCATGCCCACACACATAGCTCCACCTCCCTGTGCACGACCCCACACACATAGCTCCACCGACATCTGCGCCAACTGGCCTGACCCTCTAGTTAACGCCTCTGGTCACCCCATCGCTGTCCTAAAAGTGGATCTGAAGTTGGGTTTTGTTAGATCTCAAGTTCATTAGGCGATAGAGAGGTCATAGCATTCAACTTCACATGGAAGCTTGGGAGTCTCGGAGGCGCTGCAACTTATTGAGGAAAGGATGGAGGCGATCCTTATTCCAATTATCAATTTTATCATCTTGGATTTGATTTATTTATTTATTTATTTTTTGAGTTTGTTTGTTTGTTTTTTTAAGTGATTAGTGAAATTTTAGGATTTTTAAATATCTAAAATGGAAATATTTTTCAAAATTTAAAACATAAATAAATTGGTTTTAATAAGGGTATTTGCATCCTTTTCCAGGTTCAGAAAGTGTACGAGGGATGAGCTTGAAACATAGCATGGGGTTTGGGGGTCTAGTTGCATAAATTTTCAAAATGAGGACCCAACTGGCAAGAAAATATAAGTATAGGGACCTAGTTTCAAAATTGACACCCAAAGGCCAAAAGTCAAAAAGTTTGGGGACCCCAGGAACAAAAAACCCTAACATTTAAATTCAAAGTATATCTTTGTAGTTTCAAAAAACGTAGGGTTGAATTGAGAAAAATAGTAACTAGAGGGTATATTTATGTATTTAACCCATAAAAATTGAAATAAACATTGAATTTGGAATGTGATCATACCAAATACAAAAAGGCTAAAAATCTTCAATTCCTAAGTTGCATGACTTCCAAGGAAGAGAGAACAACAAATAAAAATAATAAAAAAAAAGATATTTGCAAATAAAGTTATTGAATGGACCTGTAAGTATATTACACGCCAATCCTGTACAATCTTCCCAAGCTTACGCCTCTGCCATGCACTATTTGAACAAACAATTTTGAGCAGATTGATAACTAACTGCATGATGTAATCAAGATGGGTATGTTAGTTAAAGCAGCTTACGGATTACATTACGCATACTAGAAAGATTCCTCCCTGCTCTGCTGACCATCTGCTAACAAGAAGTTACATGACTGACAAAAATAGAGCGACTATCTTTCTACCAAATCTCAAGAAATTGACTGACGCATGACAGGTAGATATTATGTTTATGCCATAGAATGATGCATGGTGCTCACCTGTCCCAGTTGTAAAATGAATTCATTCTTTTGAATATCATGGTTCTTTGTAGCTTCAGGCAATGCTGCAGCTCTACTAATAATGGCAAATACAGGATCCCGTCCATGGATTTTCCCATCTTGAACCAGAAGAAGCTGTTTATAAGTTGAATGGATTGACAAAATAAAGAATATGATGAGGAAATTTAGAAATATCACCAAACATTGCAGAAAAGAACACATGAATTTTAAAATTTTTATGACGTGAAACCTAGTGTGTCTCTAGTGAAGGTGACATTTATATCAGAAACAAACAACTAATGTGTATGTCCAGCCCTTACTTAAGCTGGTCTATACCAGGAGGGGCAAGCGGGGAAGAAAACATAGAATTAGGGGCCAAGGAGCAAATTCTGAAAGTGGCTAAGGTGGCTGACGTGGCAAATTATGCAGGTTCAGGGAGTATTTGTGGTGTAAGGGTCTGTTAGGGAGAGTATAGTCCATACTATCATCTGCTTTGTGTGTGTGCACTGCCGTAGGTGGCTGGGAGTGCCGGAGAGCTAGAAATCCCTGTTCTATCTTTACTGTTTCCAGATTCTTTGTGTAATCAGTGTTTTCGCTGGTTGTTCAATAAAACTCCCTGATTTCTATCTCTTGATTGCTTGATTTTCTAATCGTTTGAGAGTGGAATTTGGTTTTTTGGCTGAGTATATTACCAGGTACCTAACAGTGTATTAAAGTACGCAACCTAAATGCAAAAAATTCAAAGGCACAGAAAATATAAGCTCCAAAAAGGCACAGAAAATATAAGCTCCAAAAATGAGAAAAAGAAGAAGGAACGACTACATCTCCGTTAAGCATAACAACCTCAAGCAAGAAGAAACCCAGAAAAGCGAAATGCTAAACTACTAAATAAATACTGCAAGAATTCATAATATTATAGTATCAAGAAAAGAAATTTTGAAGTGGAAGAAAAAAAAAAGAAAATAAAAGCAAGCCAAGGGGAAGGCCAACCTGGAGATGAGCTCTGGCAACCAAATCAGGTTGAGATTTTTGAAACTGAACAACAAAGTTCAATAAATTCTCCAGTGAGGAATCCAACGAGTATGAACATATTATGTCTAGATCATGAAGAAGTTTCAGAAAATATTCAATAGCCTGCATAAGAAAATGAAGCACAAAAATTACTTTTTAAGGATGGAGAATTGCGCAAGATAAGATTAAACAAGTAAAAGTAATGATTTAAGTTGTATTTCTTGTCCCCCTTGAATGGTATTGTGCTTCATAATTCTTAATTTCTTTTGTGATTAATGCAGTTGGCTGTCTTTTTCTTTTTCTTTAAAAAAAAAAAAAAAAAAAACAACAAACAAAAAGGTAAAAGTAATGATTTAATTCTAACCTCTTTCCAACTCAGAATTTTAATAGCACGTGGAGGCGTAGGGGCAGATAATCTGCAATTCAAACTAGCATCAAATCCAATTGGTTGACAACCAGAAGCTGTGGTTTTATTTTCTACACCACCTTCCCAAGCTTCAGAAGAACTGGATCTAAGGAATTCCGATGAAGAAAGAATGGATTCCAACTCCATTATGCAGGAGGCTATATGTTTTCTTGCCAACTCCAAACCTCTGCCTTGTGGCCGCCTCAAACATGTAAGAACATGGTAAAAATGCTGAAAGCAAATGAAAAGACAGTGAATGATCTCGGTTTTAAGTTAACTCATCGCACTAAAACAGAGGTCATGAAAAAGCAAAAGTTATAGCCTGCCAGAATGTTTTTGTTAGGATCCGTTAATGACTTTGGAACTTGTTTTGGTTAGTGGGCTGGTATAGTTAGTAGGAATTAGTATAAATAAAGGGCTTAGTAGCTCACTAGAGGTATGTTGTGATTTGGAGAGTTTTGAGAAACTGAGATTAGAGAGAGCGGTGGTCTCTCAAATACCACTAAATTAGGAGTTCCCGGAGTACTCGAATTCTCCGTTCTATCCTTTACATTTCAGTGTAATTTGGTGTTCTTGACTGATTAGATTAATAAAATTCCCTCTAATTATTCTCATTTTCTTGTTGTTTCTGGTGTGTGTGAGCGTGGTATTGGTGTTTGGCTGATTTTCTGAGCTAGGATCCTAACAATGGTATCAGAGCATCTACGATCCATGGAGCTTTTTGAGTTAAGAGAGAAACTTAGAGCTATTCTGAGAGGTAATCTCAAGGTTTCTGGAGGGAGTATCGGGAGGCTCCGGGACCAGGTGGGGAAGGTTCGGACTCAGATGGAAGACGTGCAGACGGTGCTGCGGAGGATGGAGGCACTGCTGGCGGCACGGCCGATGGCCGGGAAGGCCGAGTTGGGTCGCGACAGCGAACGACGGGATGGGGAGAGACGAGATCGCGCGCCTCGGGGCGAGGAGAGCCCAAATCGCGTCGACCCAGGCGGAGTGGAGGAGCCAAATCGGGTGGATCTTCGCCGGGAAGCGCCGATTCGCGAAGATCGAGGCCGCGAGAGGGAGTTCCGATGCCGGAGAGACGTTGGTCTCATGGAGGAGCGCGAGATCCGTCGCGATCTGGGGCTGGGTGGTCCGGATCTACAGCGTGAGGGGTTGTTCGACGACGGGAGGAGGGCGGACGGAGGTCGCGACCATCGGGAGAGGGCGGCGGAGCTTGTTCGGCGACGAGAATCGGAATGGAAGCCGGAGTTAGAGGAGGAGAGGCTTGCTCCGGGGCTGGGACGGCATGGGTACCCTTGGAATAGGGAACCCATCCCTATTTGGGTCGCGGTTGGGGCTGATTCCGGACCGATTTGGACCGGGCCTCGCGATTCCGGCGTGAAAGGGGTTGGATTCCGGTGCTACGGAGACAGATCCCGGCGCGACGGAGGCTGGGCTCGACGATTTGGCTGCTGTTTGGATAAGGCCTCACGATTCCGGCGTGAAAGGGGTTGATTCCGGTGTACTTGGGGCTAGTTCTGACGCCATGAAGGCTGGGATTTGCAATTCCGACGCGATTAAGATCAATTTTGGCGATTTGGGGGCTGGGTCTCTCGATGGGAGGGCTGGGACTTGGAATCCAAGTGTCATGAGGGATGATTTTGGAGCAATTAGAATTGGGTCTTGGAATTCCAACGTGATTGGGGCTGATTTCCGCGCAATTGGGGCTGATTTCCGTGCAATTGGGGCTGGGCTTCGTGATTATGGTGCGATTAGGGCATATTCTGGCAAGCCAAGGGCTGGGTTTCTCAAATCCGGCGTGATTTGGGTTGGTTCCGATGCCGTTAAGGCTGGTCTGCACACTTCCAACGCGATTAAGGACAATTCCAGTGACATTTGGACTGGGTCTTCTTATTTCGGTCTGATTGGGGTCGGATCTACAAAGAGCGGGGTGGCAGAAGGGGGGTTGAATGGAATTGGCGTGATAGGAATCGGAAGGAAGTGGAGACACGGTTGCGATTACTTAACACCTTGAGGACAAGGTGTTTCTTTGGGGCGGGGGTAATATTAGGATCCGTTAATAACTTGAGAACTTGTTTGGTTAGTGGGCTGGTATAGTTAGTAGGAATTAGTATAAATAAAGGGCTTAGTAGCTCACTAGAGGTATGTTGTGATTTGGAGAGTTTTGAGAAACTGAGATTAGAGAGAGCGGTGGTCTCTCGAATACCACTAAATTAGGAGTTCCCGGAGTACTCGAATTCTCCGTTCTATCCTTTACATTTCAGTGTAATTTGGTGTTCTTGGCTGATTAGATTAATAAAATTCCCTCTAATTATTCTCATTTTCTTGCTGTTTCTGGTGTGTGTGAGTGTGGTATTGGTGTTTGGCTAATTTTCTGAGCTAGGATCCTTCTAGTAACATTTGGCAAGGAAAACAAATAACTGCAAAACTCGCAACTGTGTTCATAAGAAATTTTGATATGCATGTAACCATGTCTAGGAATGAACAAGAAGGGGCCTGCAATTAACGTTCCAGAAGATGAAACGTCTCTAAGAATGCCCATCCTCAAATAATGCACATGCAAGAGTCTGAATATTAGCAAAGCTTATAATAAGAAAAAAAAACACAGGCTAAAACCTTACGAAAGCGTAAGCGGCATAACAAAGCTTTGCAGTAGCCTTCCTCCATATCAATATTAGTTTGCAATGGCTCTGTATCTGCACCAAAAATTAAATGCATATTAACCTAGAAAGATAATTTGAAGCATATTAAAGAAGTCAAAATGGCGATGATTTTCAAAATGACAACATCTTCATCCTGCAAGACAACATCAGGCTCCAGAACACACAAGGTAGTAAAAGAGACAAAAAAAGAAATGTTTATATATCAACAAAAGCCATTGAAACAATGCTAGGCAGTTCAAGAGAAAATCTTACTTGGTAACGTGCGAATAATTACTTACATCAAGCTGAAATTCTCAAGTTGAAAAGTAAACTAATGTTTACTTTTTCTTTTTCTTTTATGTGCCTGTGCTTTACCAATTGATGATATTCATCTTTCCAAAATTAAATAAGACAATTTGAGTACATGGAACCTATAGATTTAATTGACTTCTCTGGGTGCCAGTCTCCTAACAACTCTTGTTATGTTATACAGAACAAACTATAAGGGAAACCTTATTATAATTGTTTAAAAGAATTAAACTGCAGTAAGGTCTCAAATTTATCCACAAAGAGAAAAGATTACATTCAAAATTTCAAAGAACAAACTAAGTCTAGCCTCCAGCAGGCCATCAACCTAAACCAAATGCACTCTTGGTAACTTTATGCGACTCCAGATCATCTTATGTGGTTTTACAATAACCTTTTTCTTCAGAAGAGAAAATTAGTAACAAAATTGAGCATGCTAATATCTACCTTCTAACACTCTTCTTTTCAATGATGACGGTGCTTTACAAGCACGCAATTGACGACTAATTGTTTCTTCAACAGCATTTAGCATGGATAAGCACTTGTCATCTCCATCCCCATTCAAAGGAAGACCATAATTCATTGTAAACAGATCCTCTTCCTGCAAAACATGTTAAAAGTGAAATCAAATCGAAAACCATAACTTCAATTCTAAATACAATTAGACTCAAAATGTAACCATTTTGTAGGTGCAGATTAAGGAATTTCTCATTTGGACCCAAAAAGAATTTCTTTCCATCAGGATCAGCTTCTACATGGACAATCAGTAATAATAAGGTAACAAATATTTTATGTATCCTACAAATCATTCTTCCCTCAACGTATATAATGGAGGTATGAATGAAAATGAGAGTGAGAATATTGGATGAAATTTAAAAATAGTATAATTGTTTAAGGGAGTAATTCAAACAGTACAGACCAAAAAGCGCAGTTGGAATAATTTACTTCATGTGTACGTGCATCTGAAACAACTGAAATGACTGCCTTGCAGGTTGCTCGTATGACTCTGCAAAATGAATGCAATAAGGCATGTGAAGACGTCCTCTCAGGCCTCAGAAGATAGATACACGAGAAGACAGTTTGTGACAATGAATGACCCTTGTGCCATGTTGCCTGCCACGAAACTGTAATTTAGATAAAAGTAATGCAAAAACGCCTTATAGATATTAGCGCAGGCGATTAGGGGAAAAAATAATGTTGAGCTTCTGGACAAGGTGTAAAATTGCTACATACTAGATATTACTTTAGCAAACGAACAAAAGAGATCACAATATCACTTTTCATCTTATTCCAATGATAATAAGTGATGCTAAAAATCTTTAAATGTGAAAAAAAAAAGTCCTGAAACCCACGATGTCTCACCGCATTTTTGTTAAAGGAATTAGAAGCGAATTACTTAGGTGTTCTGAAATTCAGAACATGAATCGGCTAAGATTTTCCTCTGCATTTGCTACAAAAAATAAGAGCAAGCAAGCAAGGTTACACAGAAAACAAAATTACCTCGCAGGAGAGAAGATGGTCCACAATATCAATAGTGCATCGAACATCAACAGTTTTATCACAACTAATAGGAAGTGGAGCAGCACCATCCTCAATTGCTTCTTCAACAGAGTAATATTTACAAACGATGCCCGAATCCATCTTCGGGTCCATTATCTAGCACAGGAACAGGTACAAAAAAAAATGATTATATACTAACTACTAAGCACTTAATTTTCGACAAAATAAGACTAAGCATGTAATGAACAACGAAAATTAGCATAGAAAAAAAAATGTGCACAATCATAAATGTACTTGTTAATAAAGAAAAACACTGAGAATCTTATGGGATGTTTGGAAGAGGGATTCGGGCCCTGATTCGAATCATGGTTCGTGACTCGCTACAGTATTTTTTCTCACAAAAAATACACGTAAATCGAAAATAGTTCTAATCTCATGATTCTAATCCATGAACTAAACGTTCTCTTAGTATTAGCCTCACGCCATAAAGAACAAAGTATTGGTCCTATTGGAACACACAATGAGGAATTCTTTATTTGTGAAGAACAAGACAAAAATGAATTGTCTAATCAGCTAAAATTCAATTAGAAAGCAACATTTTATTTGGTCAAGAAATTAATAGAAATAGCTTTAAAAGCTATACCTCTAGGGCAGACATGGCAGCAAAGAGATTAAAGTTGTCACCATGAATAAGCTGACCGTCTTCAAGATCTGCAAACAAAGAACTCAAAAATAAGAAAGAAAGAAAAAAAAAATAGAAGCTTTACTCGTCTTTCATTTCCTAACATGCTAGCTTACTTAAAACGGCAAAGAAATTGGTTGTGAAACCTAAAAACATTGATCAAAACTCCAGCTTTTTCTTGAACTTTCTCGCCATCCAAACAAAAACGCATTTTCATTAGTGCAGAGAACCAATTAAAGAAAATGAAAAGGAAAACCGACCTCCGCAGGCGGCGGCGAGAAGCGGCGAGGCGTCGGCCCAAACGGAGTTCTCGCCGGAGGGAATCGAGGAGCGTTCGGGTACGGGCGGATCCATGGTAGAAGCTTCGTGAGTCTGATCGGAGAGGAGTGAAGGGTTTTCTTCTCTTCGCTTGGTAATCGCGGGAGTGAAATGAGAGGTTGAGTTGGTCTGGAGAGGAATAAAGGTTGCAGAGCTCGGAGGTGGCGTAATGGCGGGGTTTAGGGCATTTGCATTATTTGGACCCCTCTCTACTTCTCTGCTTGGTAAGTCCGTAACTCTTCAAGGGCTTGAATCACGTGCAATTCCTATACTCTTGTAACAGTAATACTTTACCTCAAGTAATACTTTTATCTTAATTTTTAAAATGTGATATATTATTACTATATTCTAAAGAAACCCGGCCAACACTGTTTATTCACACTCAGTTTACTATTTTTAAAATAGTGTTCCGACAATTTTGCCCTTTTTCTCTCTTCTTTTTTCGTTTGTGGGTCGTGGGCCTCTTGGTCTTTTTGATTTTCTTAAGTGATAGGACGATTTTGTCCCTGTAGTTTTGGTTTTCTGTTTACTTCTGCCGTGAGTATTTCTGTTTATTCACCCGTGTGAAGCCCTAATAGGGAACTTTGTATAAATAGATTAAGTAAAATGTGTTTTTAAGTAAATAAACTGTCAAAAAAATAAATTGGGTAAATAACTCAACTTCCATGTCATCATTCCACGTCATCAATTATGGTTTTAGGGTTTTCTTTCTCCTCCTCCTCTTCCATTTCGCGCCATTTTGTTCTCCCAGCCGCCTTTAATTTCTCCTCTCTTCTTCTCAAGTCATCGTCGTCGCATAACCTCATTAACATTATTATCTTGCCCATTCAACGTTCTTTTCTCGTCCAAAACGAAGTTTGAAGAAGAGCTACTAAGTAAGTCTTTCATTTTCTATATCTCTCATGGTGTTTTTCGTTGTTGTTCATATGTTTTTAAGATGAGAATGTAGTTAAAAATCCATTAAATAGTAATTTTACATGTTAAAAGACTAGTTTACATTGTTTGATATGATGAAGATCCACTGGGTTTAGAAAAAAAAAGGTCTGTTCATGGTCGGTTCATGGTCCGTTCTTGGTCTGTTCTTATAATATGGTCGGTCCGGGTCGGTTCTTGGTCTGTTCTTATAACATGGTCGGTTCGTGGTCGGTTCTTAGTTTGTTCTTGGTCTGTTCTCATAAAATGGTCGGTTCTTGGTCTGTTCTCATAACATGGTCGGTTCTTAGTCTGTTCTTGGTCTGTTCTTATTGCACTGTCAATTTTTAGTCTGTTCTTATTGCACAGTCAGTTCTTAGTCTGTTCTTGGTCTGTTCTTGGGTTGTTCTTATTATATAGTCTATTCTTGCTCTGTTCTCATTATATGGTATGTTCTTAGTCTGGTCGTGGGATATTTGGTTTGGTTTAATGACATATTATTATTTTGATTAAATTTTTACAGTTTTAAAATCTAAATAATGGCTCAGTGGAGGATTTTTTTTGAAATTGGAGGAAAATGGGATGAGACTGAAAGTTGTTGGGTGTGGCATACAGATTGTAATTTAATTGGCATATATATGGATGAGAAGGATACGCTCGCAGGGTGGCACGGGAGCGCGCGCTGTGGCAAGGCGCGCGCGCGCGAGGTGGCACTGGCGACCAGAACACAATAATATAGATAACAGACCAGAACCGACCAACCTAGCAAGAACCGACCAGAATAGACCAAGAACAGACTCTTGTAAAAAATTAGAGAACATATAATTTTTCATATTTTTTAGACTTTTTGGGTATTAATAAACATTGTAGTTTATAAAAGTGAAAAAAAATGGTTAGAAACGAGAAAACCAAGAACAAACCAAGAACAGACTCTTGTAAAAAATTAGAGAACATATAATTTTTCATATTTTTTAGACTTTTTGGGTATTAATAAACATTGTAGTTTATAAAAGTGAAAAAAAATGGTTAGAAACGAGAAAACCAAGAACAAACCAAGAACAGACTCTTGTAAAAAATTAGAGAACATATAATTTTTCATATTTTTTAGACTTTTTGGGTATTAATAAACATTGTAGTTTATAAAAGTGAAAAAAAATGGTTAGAAACGAGAAAACCAAGAACAAACCAAGAACAGACTCTTGTAAAAAATTAGAGAACATATAATTTTTCATATTTTTTAGACTTTTTGGGTATTAATAAACATTGAAGTTTATAAAAGTGAAAAAAAATTTGGTTAGAAATGAGAAAACTAAGAACAGACCAAGAACAGACCAAGAACAGACTAAGAAC